CATTAGATTCTGCTCAAGGGCATGTACCTTGGTTGCATTCTTCTCCCGGGCCCGGGCCTAGTCAGGGGCATGCAGGAGGCAACCAATCGATGTGTTTCTCTATATATCAGTATTTCTCTCTGTCTTTCCCTCTCTCTTCCACTCTCTCTAAAAATCAATGGAAAAATATCCTCGGGTGAGGATAACTAACTAACTAACTAACTAAATAAGTAAATAAATCAGGTTGGAGAAGAGGCTTTTAGACTGATAGCTAATAGTGAATCCTAGAACCAGGCTGCACAGACTTGGGCAGGCACCCTGCTGTAGGGGGTGTGGAGCCACAGAAGCAGCCCCCTCCCAGTAAGAAGAAGGACAGTGCTGAGTTGAGCATGACCAGGTATTCTCAGATTTACACAACAGATCAGTCCTTCCTCTACCCAAAATTGCTTAAAAAATGAAAGAAAACTTACTCATTGAAACAAGAACTAGGAAAAAGGGATTCATTCCCCTCTTCCATTCAGAGTGAGCAGAGTGAGGCTTAGAAATAGCAGAGAAAACAACTATAACACAGCCCACAGATACAAGAAGGACTCAAGTTGCCAAGTCAGAAAACTACCCAACTTTATAGTTAGATTGAGTCCCAGCTTTGCCTCTTAGTAGCTGGAAGGTTTTAGGTAAGTCCTGTAAACTCTAATTCTTCACTTCTTGCTTTTAAAACGAGGAAATATCTAATTCCTCGGGTAGTTGTGAAGAGAAAATGAGGCAAAGCATGAAAAGCTCTTAGCAGAGTCCCTGGAAGTAGATAAGCCCTCTGGAAACAGTAGCTGTGATGATTATTTCTGAGAACTAATCAATAGCTCCTGAAGCAGTTTCTCCTTTGCTATCGTGGAATTCAACAGAGATCGGAAGGGTTTCTGCAAAATAACAAAACAATTGGGGAGAGAGGAGGAGAGGGGAAGAATGGGAAACAGGCCTCTGCAGGCTTAGCTGGTTTGAAAGATTGGCTGGAACACTGTCCAGGGTAAATTGGGCTGGCCCTTCCCCTTCCCCTACCCACTGTGCAACCTGAAAGACATGCAATCACACACACATACACACACACACACACACACACACACAACCAATATCCAGAGTATGGCATCACTACTCTGTTTCCTGGAGAGGATATTGCCTTTATAGATATATTCAGTAGGAGAGGCTAGATTTTGCTGTGTAACAAATGACCCCAAAGTCTCAGTGGCTTGCAACCACAGAAGTTTACTTCTCACTCAAACCTATGTCCATGATGGGTCAACTATGTCCCTATTCTAGAACCCAGGCTGATGAAGCACTCTTTCTTTCTGTGTGAAAAATTGCCAGATTTTGTGGCAGAAGGAAATGAGATATGGTGAACACCATGCTGGGTCTTCAGCTTCTATTCCAACGTGAACACACATCACTTGTGCTCATATTCCATTGGCCAAAGCAAGTCTTATAGCCTCACGTCGACAG